AGTCATCATCTGTGTTCATATCTTCTGTGACCACTGCTATCCAATACATGGTGATGGAAATGAGTCATCATCTGTGTTCATATCTTCTGTGGCCACTGCTACCCAATACATGGTGATAGAAATGAGTCATCATCTGTGTTCATATCTTCTGTGGCCACTGCTACCCAATACATGGTGATAGAAATGAGTCATCATCTGTGTTCATATCTTCTGTGACCACTGCTATCCAATACATGGTGATAGAAATGAGTCATCATCTGTGTTCATATCTTCTGTGACCACTGCTATCCAATACATGGTGATGGAAATGAGTCATCATCTGTGTTCATATCTTCTGTAACCACTGCTATCCAATACATGGTGATAGAAATGAGTCATCATCTGTGTTCATATCTTCGCTGGCCCATGGCAGGATCTTAGACAGAAACACGATATGTTTTTAATTCTACATCAGGCTTCACTTTTTTTTTTCAAAAAATCATGCATCAATCCTGGCTTGGGGATATATACCAAAGTTTGCAGATTTTGTTTTTTACTTATACATCTTGAATATAATATTTAACAGTAACTTGCAGTTTTGGATATCTTAAGCCTACTGGGTAAAGCTGATTTTACTTTTGTGTGTCGTCATTATATAATGCTTAAAATGTCTAGTTACTTTTGTCTATTTTTAGCATACAGCTGCATACACTCCTGATGTTATACATGTATATTTAACTTTTGACTGACCAAAGTATTTGTTCACAGCTGTCTGCATTATATTTCCCCCAATAAAAAAATGCAAAATATTACTTTTCGGCAAACACACAGGGGAAATCACATTAATAATACAGAAATACTCAATATGGTTGACTTTCTTGAAGAAGGATACTACATTGTGGTGCGTTGGAAGGATACAATTGTCAGTTATGGTTTACTTGTTAATACAATTTAACGTTGTTGGATGCGTCTCATTTTCGTATGATATGCATATTGCATGATCAGTCATGTGACTGCACATTGTTAACAGTTTGAACAGATCTTGCTGTAAATTCAGCCGTATAACTATATATTCTCAATGGAAGGCATCCAAGCCTCCATCGCTGCATTGTCTGCAAGTGACACAATAACGAAAACAAGCAGGGCATTGATTCTTCTTTACCCTTTGATCGTCGCGTAGTTGAAAGAAAACATGATGATTTCTGAATACTCTAATCAACTTATTCCTACCTATCATCATTCTGCTTTGTGCTGCGACTTTAAATGCGACTATAATTTTGTTTCGTCTTTCTTTGACAAGGTTTTCCTTTTATAGTCATTACTTTACAAACAAGTTAACGTATCCTTGTCTGCTCTAGCCGAGATGTTATCACTCGATCTTTCCAGACGGAAATCAATGAGCTATATAAATCACAAGACTCTTGCATATCCCTCAGTACAAATCGTCTTTTCTCTTATCATTGTTAAGAGATTCCTTATCTGTCACACTCACGTGATTATGATAAAGATGATGATGATGATACATGAACTTATGAGGAAAAATATTGATGGATGGCTTCTCTTGTCAAATTATAAAATATTTTTGTCTTTTCGCTGAACTGTTCTGTCAACTATATGTATTCCCCTGGGTTCTACTGACTAGTATGATTTAAGTATACAGACTTGAATACAGAATGAAGCTTTGAAGGCTTATAATAAGATTTCTCCTGAATGAATGTAGAGTTAGATTACATTTGTGGAGCATTGATGTTCGGTCTTAATGGCGTACACATATGTTTATACACAGTCTAAGGATCATTCAGTATGATTTATTAGCAGCCGTTAGGTCGGCATAGCATGTGTGTAATCTATGACTATTATTTACAGACTAATGAAACACGCACAGTGACCCAGTTCCATTACTTGACTTGGCCAGACAATGGTGTACCACCCAACCCCAAAGGCATCTTGGAATTCAGACGGTAAGCATTTTGGTTACTTTAATATTTTGGCTTTTTTCTTATTAGTGGTACACTTTAAGCTGTTTTAAGTCTCCAAGTTATAATCTCTACCTGTAATTCTTAATCTCTAATCCTTCCTGTTATCTTATCTTCCATTAATGTGCCTTAATCCACATCCTGCTCCTATCCTAGTTTAAATCTAGCAGTTCTTGTCATAAATAATGCTTTTTTTTTTACTGGACCATTTGTTTGCTGACTATTCTACTACTTCTACTAACCTTGCCAGTGGCCTAGTCATTTTTGTGCATATGCAAGCTGTCAAATCAATCACTTGCATAGTCACAAAAGTGATTGGGACAAGTGTGCGCACTCGCAGAGAGAAGTGTGCCGTCTGGTTGTCATGGTAAACTGTTAACTCCTAATATTGTCAAATCATTCACATTATTGTGTTTTAATTATTTCTGATGAATTCTGGATTCATAATTTGATACCTCTGTTATTTAATTGTTTTAATTTGTTGGTGCTTATTAATGGTTTAACCTTTTTCAACCTCTCTAACTCTCATTGCAACGATTCTATTGTTTGCTGCTTGATTATTCTAACTTGTTGAACAGAACACATCCCTCCCCATCCATACATGTGCAGATTCAGAATGTCATTAGCTTCTATTTGTCTTGAACATAATTGCTAGTGTTTTAATTGTCAACCATGTGATGAAACACTGTTTTAATCAATATTCATTCTTTCCAAATATTGCATATTTAACTTTCTGTTTTCTGA